CAGCAGCGTTATCAGCGCTGAGCGCTAAATGTAGGTCTTGGCACTGCTTCATGTGGTCTTCTTTGGAAAACTGATCTTTAATATTTCCAATAGCGTATAAAAATTCAAAAGTTTCACAATGACAAAATCTTTCTTCAACGGAAATTATAGCTACATCCAAAATACAATAGAAACATTCAACTTTAAACCTTTCGTTTGGATCGAGAATAGGATCATCATGAGCCTCATAACAAAACTGTCTTGTTTTTTTCCGAGGACGAATGAATTGTTGAGGTGCAAACATCGGTTCAAAATCAAGATCCTCTGCTACTGTTGTTGCTTCTTTGACAGTTTCTTCAAATCCTTCATCTGAACAGTATTTTTTTAAATATTCCAGCGTTTTATTCAAAATCGTCTTTGCCTCGGATATGTCTATGGTTATGTTCTGCATAACTTTGCTGGTCAAATTAATTTGATTTAGAATATTGTGCCAAATAACCGTGCAACATGAAAATTGAAACTGCATCATTTTCTGAGCCAATGTTTCAGTTTCATGTCGAAATGAAGGATCATACGACAAGTCCTGGCTTATTTCGAATAGTGCATCGTAAATCTCTCCTGATGAATATCGGAATGGTCTAATAGCATCTATCCTGCTTTCCCATCTAGTTTGACTTAGAGGTTTAAGTGTGAGTTTTTGTTCAAGATGCTTCTTCAAGACTGCCCAACGGTGTGTGGAATCACTAAAAAAGTTGTAAATTGCTTGCACTGTGGTAAAATATGAAACGGCATCTTTAGATGATTTGGCGGCATCACTGACAACCAGATTGAGTGAATGCGCATGGCAAGGAATGAAAAAAGTTCGATTGTTTAAATTCAATATTCTTTGCTGTACACCTGCATGTCATCCTCGCATGTTTGAGCCGTTATCGTACCCTTGGCCACGCATATTTTCTAAAGGTATTCCATAGTATTCCAATCTCCGTAGAATTACATCTGTGAGGGCTTTCCCAATAGTTTCATTCACTGGTATAAATTCTAGAAAGTGTTCACAAATTTTCACTTCTGAATTTTCATCAATTTTCAGAAATTGTAAAACTATTGACATTTGCTCGGTTTTGCTCAGATCTTGAGTACAATCAACTATAATTGAGTAATATTTGGCATGTTTCAAATTCGATACAATTTCACTACGCACTCCATTAGAAATTAATTCTATTATCTCATTTTGTGTATTTTTACCCAAATAATGGGTGTGAATCTCTCCATCTTTCACTCTTTGTACATGCTCAGCCATAACATTATCAAATTTTGCCAATAACTCAACCAATTTTAGAGAAATTTCCATTGTTATTCTCATATAAAATATCCAAGGATCCACGGAATGCAAGGCACTGTTCGCCTAGGAAATTAATGATTGCCAGTAAACGTTCCAACACCACTTGCCAATGTAGAATTTCTGAATTTAGTTGACGTTGCTGTACCGCATCGATTGTTGTACTGGACCGTAATCTGTTTGACAGCTCAATCCAATTTGTCAATGAGCGTAAATGATTTTTTGATGTTTCATGTTCTTTCAAATGCTGATGCAAATTTCGCCAGTCATTAAAACCTGCAGTTGCCAGAAGAATGTCCAAGTTACAGAACAGTTTGCAGCAAAAACAAAAAACGACATCTTTGGTCTGTGAATACACTAACCACGATATATTAATTTGTTCCCCATTTTTCATTTTTTTCTTCATATTGGATGGCATAAATCGACGATTTGACTCATTAAATGGATATTCAAATGTAGGATCTAGTTTTGAAGGACCTTTTTTCACAATAATCATTTGCATTGCATCAGTAATTATTGTCGGCCATGTACTTGGATCCGATCCTATGTCAGTCTCTCCACCTTCCAATAATTGTTCTTCAGTTTTAGATTTGGATAACAGTTCTTCATTTCTGGACTCTTCAGCTGAAGTAGTAAATCTTTGGATGGATTGTGATTGTTTGTCTTTATCAGTTAGCGAAGATAATCTTTGGTCAGATTGTTGTTCATCTTTATCAGTTGATAAAGGTAATCCTTGGTTCGATCGGTCTTCATCAGTTGATGAATAATCACCTTCAGTGTATTGCTTAGAGCTTTCTCCTTGATTGTTGACTTTTTTAAAATACTTTTTTGAAGTATGAGATAGTTTTTCTAATTCTTTTTGCCGTTTCTCTCTTTGTTGCTGATAGGCAGTACCAGAAAGTCATTTTCGTTTTTGTCCCGGCATTTTAGCCATATAACCACTGGCACCAACGCGAAACGGAAATTAACGCGAATGGCGCCGATAGGGCAGCACAGTACACACACGTAATTGTGATTTGAGTGACCGTGTCACAATGTGACATGATATTTTTCACATCACGCTCCTATTGCTCTACTGTACTTGCCGTAGGTAAGGCGCTAGTCATTAAGGCGAGAGAGCTCCCCACGAGCTCGGATACACAATGGACCCAGCCCTGCTGGCGTTTTCCCAGCATTGAGGCCGCCCAGCTGGGAACCTGAGGGGCATGCAATGGAGAGAGCTCTGTGGCTGGAGGAGCCAAGGAAGAGGTGCTGGGCTTGCTGGACAGATGCTGCCCCTCTCTGCCAGGTCACTTGCCCCCTGCAGGGGGGAGGCAGAAGGAGACTCCAGGCACTGGAGTGCTGTGAGGGGCTGGGGAGGGAGGCAGCAGCCTCTGGGGCTCCAGCAGGCAGAAGCTCCCCAGGGGTCCCGGGGAATCTCCCGCCCGGCCCGACTCTTACCCTTGCTGTGGATCTGGCCTGAGGTGGATTCATCTCCCGTCACCGCCGCTCCCAGGGCCAGGGGTTGGGGCTGCTGCTGGATCCCAGCCCCGCTCATCCTTGGTCTTCGCCTTGGCCCCGGCATGAGCTGGGCTCAGCCCGGGATGCCGCTCCGCTCCGCTCACCCCTTCCCTGGCAGGAGGCGGCGCAGAGGGGAGGAGGAGGAGGAGGCAGAGGCAGGGACAAGCCGAGGAGGAGCGGCCTGCTCGGGCGCCAAGTTCTGCCCGTCCTCTGCAGCCGGGGCAGGGCCACGCTACCGGCTCCCGCCTGGGGGGTGGGAGGGTGGGCGCTGACCGCGGGAGAGCGGTGCAGACAAGCCGAGGAGGAACGGCCCGTCCTCTGCAGCCGGGGAAGGGCCGTGCTACCGGCTCCCGCCACTCTCCTGCAGTCAGCGGTCACACTCCCCACCCCCTAGGCGGGAGTCGGTAGCATGGCCCTGCCCCGGCTGCGGAGGACGGGCCACTCCTCCTCGGCTTGTCCGCACCACTCTCCCACGGTCAGTGGCCACCCCCCAGGCAGGAGCTGGTAGCACAGCCCTGCTCTGGCTGCAGAGGACGGGCCGCTGCTCCTCGGCTTGCAGCGGCGGGGACAAGCCGAAGAGGAGCAGCCCGTCCTCTGCAGCCGGGGCAGGGCCGCGCTATTGGCTCCCCCCCGGGGGGGGGGGGGGGGGCC